AGTTATGCAATTTGGGAGTCTTTTAGATAGACCCACTGAAGGGGTGCTCCAATTGCCTCACTGTGTTCCTGTACAGCATAGACGAGGCCAGAGCGGTCTGCATCCCTGTTCCCTATTGGAAATTTGGGTAACCCCTTCAGAGGATGGCGTGATAAGGAGGTAGGAATTGGACAGGCAGAGTGAAAAGACCCCAAAGAAATGTAGCCAGTTTTTGGGCTAAAAGTCAAAATGTCCTTGGGCCTGTTAGCAACACATTCTGTTCCAATGGCCAAAAATGTCAAAATGTCAAAAGTATTTGGGAGCTAGTGTATAATTCTTATAAGATTTTAGGGTTACCTCTTCAGAGAGAGAATGTTGGAGGGGAGGGAGTGGGCATGGATTTGATCAAAACACCTTATATGCATGTATGAAATTCTCAATAAGTTTTTGTAAAAGTTAAAAAAAAAATGAAAAAGAAAATGAGCCCAACCTTAGGAGCAGATTCTTTAATAAGAACAATGGAGGACCACAGTTTCTCCGAGGGGTTGAAACAAGCATAGTTGGATAGTTGGTCTGAGTTTTTTATAGATCTGCTATTTTCTTCAGTCCTTTTTGGGGTGGGGGTTGGGACAATGAGAGTTGGCATATGTGGTTGGAGTTTCTTAGCTGGGGCTTTCCAAGCTGAGATGGTTAGCCCTCATTTAATGTGTTCCACTTTTTAGCTACTAGAATTATAGATACAAACAAAGATGCATATCTTTCCCCATACATATGCGTGTGTAGTCTCCATACACAGAAAATGTGTAAGTAAATGTGACAGCTAGTGACAGTTAATGGGCAGAGTTGTAAAATAAGATGTGAATGCTCCAATGACCCTATTAGCCTTTTAGACTGCTTAGCAAACACCTGAGAGTGACTTTTAGGGAGAGAACAGAATACCACCAACCACAGAACCAAAGGACAGAACAATCCAGGTGGAGAAAGCAGGTAATACAATGGTCTTAAACATTTTAGAATGGGGTGGGGAATATCGTGCCACTGAATCCCAAGGAAAATAAGGTTAAAAAAATTATTACAGTAGTAGATAACTACTGTACAGCCAGTTCACCTTGTATTTTAACTATACTCTGGCTAATCTGACAGCTTATTATGGTACTATCTTAATATGTGGCCACTAGTAAGTTTGAATATTTCATTTGTTCTATGGCCAACTGTTCTTTTATTGTGTTCCTTATTTCTCTATTTTTCTGTTGACATTCGAATCTTCTTTTTTGTAGAGATCTGTGTAAATTGTGCTCCAGAGGCTTGGCACATAGTTATATATTTTCCACCAATCAATGTAATATGTGAACGTTTTACCTGCAAAAAAATTTTTTTTTCTTTTTTTCTTCTTGAGACAGGGTCTCCCTGTAGTCCCAGCTGACCTGGAACTCACTATGTAGACCGGGCTGTCCTTGAACTCACAGAGATCTGCCTGCCTCTGCCTCCTAAGTGCTGGGATTAAAGGCGTACATAACCCTACCAGCTCAGTCTGGGCTTCTTGGTGAACCCTGATTCAAAAATAAAATGACCTCTTGAGCTGCGGGGCGATGACTCAAAGGGAAGAGGTGCTGGCTGCCAAGCATGACGACTTGAGTTCGATCACATGGTAGGAGAGAAAGGTTTCTTCAAGTTGCCCTCTGACTGGCACGCGTGCGCCCACACACACAAAATAAGTGTAGTTTTAAAAATAAAAAAGATTCATTCTTGCTACGGAAAGGTTAATAAAAACACGGTTGATTTTAGAAGGGCTAGGGCAGAATTAGGAGACATTAATTTACATAGTGCTTGATAGGTAGGAATGTTGGAGAGAGCGTGCAGTGGAGAGCACCAGCGAGGCACAGATGGAATTCTCAGCGGGATACAGCTTTATTTCACACGGGCACCTTTCCCTCGGGAAGGGAAAAATGTCAGCGAAGGGCAGGGAAGGGAAAGATGTCAGGGAAGGGAAAGATGTCAGGGAAGGGCAGGGAAGGAAAAGATGTCAGGGAAGGGAAGGGAAGGGAAGGGAAAGATGTCAGGGAAAGATGTCTGGGAAGGGAAGGGTGTCAGCTCACGGGTTGTGAGCCAGGACTTTATATATGGGGGCTTTAGGGTGTGGAAGGGGGGAATGTTTGGGGGAGAAATCAGGGAGGGGGAAGCAGGAAAAGCAGGTAGGATTAGGGTCTGGAAGTGTTTACTTTTTCCCTCTTAAGATAAGAAGAAATCTGCTTATCTTATCTTTGGAGGTCAGAGGAAAGGCAGGCTGCTTCTCAGCAGAGTTTGTTTCCCTTGACTCCAAAGGTCAAGGTGAGGTCCCTGTTGGGGAGGG